ACAATGCTCCACAACTTACGCAGCACAGATTTTTATATTTAAAAAATCCTGTTGCATGAGGGTTAATAATGCCCTTGAGTCTCTCTTACAGCCACTGAAATTGCTTTCACACATTACAAAGAAATACTTTGGATTGTGCCGATACTGATATGTGTTCCTACTTTTTATGCTCTTTGTGTAACCCCTTCTTTTGTAAATCATTGTCACCAGAACATGAATATATTGGGCCTTGACATAAATCAAGTTGCCATTTTACCTATAATTGCATAAATAGCTCCTTTAATCACATAATTGTTAAACTAGGATTAGCTTGAATCTTTCTTACTCTGTTGGCCTCTGCTTACTTATGTTTTCATTGGCTTTCTGACTTGCAGGCAGGAAATAATACAAAAGTGATTGTGCTGAATATTTGAGCACAAACAGGTTTCAAAGTACATGGTTTTGGCACAGAGCTTTATCTTTACATTTACTCTCTGTTTTATTTCCTTTGCAGTAGGTAGCCTTCATCCTAGCAGCTTTTATACAGCATCCTGTTTCCTTCCTTGCTCAGAGGTTCAGAGTGCTGGCCCTCCTAACTCTGTATTTCTCCCACTTGAGTTCTTAAACTAAGAAATTAAACTCATTTTTTGGAATAGGTCTCCCAAACTTCTTCTCCTTTTGTAAAAGCTGAGTTAATAGGCTTGCACTTTTGTCTCCTTTTGCCTACTCTGATATCTGAAATGTTTCCACCTCACTCCAAAGGAGATTGGGAAACATGAAAATGAGTGATAATCAGGGAAGGGCTAAGATCTGGAATGTCTGTGTGAACACTTTTGTGTTCACACAAAAATTTAGGAACATATTTGTTTTTAATACCAGGATTTGTTGGACATGTGGATTTCATGCCTTTTTTATGTTCCGCCTTAAAGACTAGGTAGATCTAAGCTTTTTGAAAAATTTGCAGGTTCAGACTGTAGTCAAGAATTTCATTTTCAAGGCTTGGCAGAAAGTTAATAACGCATCACCAATGAGCCATTGGCCAGTTTCCATTGGAACACCTAATGACTGCTGTCTCTGGGATTCTTGCAAAGAATTGGACTAAGTAGGGGGCCTTGGTCAAGCAAGATGGTAGTTAGCATTGTAAAGAAGTATGTATATATATATATATACTGTCTGCTTAGGATTATTTATTAATAAGGAATGAATTTTCCCTTCTTGGATCTAGACCTTAATATGGTAAGATAATTTGTGTATTTTAGAAAAGCCAATAGCAATGCCATCAGGAGGCTAGACTCCATTACAAGCCTGGATTCTAGCAGGGCCATGCAGGGTGGAAAGTTCACAGTTAACACATGAAGCTAAGATGCATCCACCCTCTTCAGAAGTAACAGCCAGATCAAAAGAAGAGAATGGATAGTTCCAATGGGGGGGGGGGGATTTCTTGAAGTCAGCTATTGGGCACCAGCATCAGGAGAGAGTGTCACTGGAGGAACATCTTTCACAAATAATGGCAGTGACACTCAAGCTAACTTTTGTTAGTACTGTGCAGAAGAAGGCCATGGTAAACCACTGCTGAACCTTTCTTACCTTGAAAACCCTATGATGAGACAGTCCAAAATGAAATAAAATACTGTAGAAGATGACACTCCCGGGTTGGAAATCATTCAGTCAGCTGTGGGAGCAAAGGGCAAGTACAAATAGTGCTGTCTCTAGTGATGGAAGTAGATTGAAGCCGAAAGAACATCTAGTGGCTGAAGAGGTGAAAAGAAAGTCTATACAATTGAAACACAGAATGTGAGAATTAAGAATCAAAGCAAACTGAAAACCATAAAGAAACAAATAGAACTATCATAATGGCCAGTGCAACGAAATAAGTAAAACACAAGAAGAGGAAAAGCAAAAGATCTGTTCCAGAAGATCCAAAAAAATCAAAGGAAAATTTAAGCCTAGGTTAACAATGCTGAAAGACCAATAGCAAAACACATTATCTGACCAGAATAAAATAAAAAAAAGTGGAAGCAGTATACTGAAGACCTATACAGAAAAGATAAAAAGACTCCTTTGAAGAGGACTCCAATGATGAAGAACCTGCAGTTCTACAAAATGAAGTGAAAACTGCTCTGAAAGCACAGGGAAGAAATAAATCACCAGTGTTGTACGGGATACAGATAAAACTATTTCAAGAGACCAAATCTGTCAAAATTCCTAAAAATATGTGCCAGAAATATGGAAAACAAAATACCAATGGCCCACCGATGGGAAACATTCAATATTAGAGATGTGCACTAGCACCAAAATTTAGATTCAGAATTCAGATGTGGAATTACAACCCTTTGGATTCAGAATTTTTAAAATTTGGATTTTTCCCCTTAAAAAAAAACACAGCAGGCAAAACATTTTTAAAGAAAGTCCCTGTGTCCTCTGACACCTTCCCAGTGATTGTGCTGAACAAAAAAACAACCAACAGTGCTTAGGTATTAGGAAATGATTGTAATAGGCATACAGATTGAACTTTGAAAAGTGGGAAAGCTGCAGCAGAACACAAAACCCTTCCAATGAAAATCACACACACATGCACACACAGAGATCAAGATACAAAACTTATTTAAAAATTGGATTTTTCCCCTTTAAAAAAAACACAGCAGGCAAAACATTTTTAAAGAAAGTCCCTGTGTCCTCTGACACCTTCCCAGTGATTATGCTGAACAAAAAAAGTACACACCAACAACCAACAGTGCTTAGGTATTAGGAAATGATTGTAATAGGCATACAGATTGAACTTTGAAAAGTGGAAAGCTGCAGCAGAACACAAAACGCTTCCAATGAAAATCACACACACATGCACACACAGAGATCTATTACCTTAATATATCTGTCCATATATAACAACAAAACTTATATATTATATTTCCCAAGGTGACCTAAACCTAATAATAGTTCCATATTGGTTTATATTGTGTTGATCTATGAATCTACTTATTCTAGACCTTATTCCTAACTATATTAAGTAAATAATACAGAATGAGGTTTAGATAATGTAAATGTAAGCTGAGGGCTTACATTTACTGGTGCAGTGCAGGTTTGCACCACATTGATTTTAGTAGGTCTGCTCTAAGTATGACTACGCCTGAATCCAGTCCACTGTATAAGAACTGGTTTATTATCCATTGAAGATGATTACACAGCACATGAATAAATTGTAGAATTCAGTGTCACAGGATGTGGAGGTGGCTGCCAACCTGGACAGGCTTAAAGGGGGGTTAGATAAATTTATGGGGATTAAGACCACCAGTGGCTACAGGTCAGTATGACTGTGTGTCGTGTTTAGCCTCAGAGGCAAGATGCCTTTGTATATTAGTTCTAGTGAGCACAAGTTGGAGGGTGCAGTTACACTCATGTTGTACTTGATGTAGGCAAGTGGCTGATCATGACATGAACAGAACATTGTACTAGACAGGACTTTGCTCAGATCCATAATGGTTTTTCTTGTGTTCTTATGCAAAGGATTTTTAGAGCAGGCTCCCTGTGAATAATTGACACAAGACTGTCAAGTGTCCCTGGTGCTTCTGGCAGCAACAAATCTGTAGATGTCATTTGTTGGCTTGCACCTCATTATACGTCATGTATGGCAGCAACCCTAACACACAAACTGTCTCAGCCTGCTTCTGCAAGGTCCTCACTGTTCCCTTATTCTGTATACGTATTTTATCCTCATAGATGAATTCAGATGTGGTAAGGAAAACACTGTTTTAGGAACATAGACATGATTTACTTGCAGACCTTTGGTCTAGATGGGCGGGGTAGAAATTCAATAAAATAAAAATAAATAAAATAAATTGTGTTTTTAATCTTGCTTTTACTATGAGTTTTAATATATCTGTTTAGTGCTTTTTAAATATAATAATTTATTTAGCTTTAACTTCATATCTGTTAATACTGTAAGTTGCCTTTTAAAAGCTGTCTTGTCAGGCCATTTGTCCATCTATTTCATTATTGTCAACGCTATAGTGATTCTTCGCAGTTTCAAAAGGGCTCTCCTAGACTTACCTGCACGGCATTTGGGTCATTTTAAGGAGAAAGGTGGGGTAAAAATATTTTAAATAAATAAATAACATTGAAATAGTGTTCTATATCTAGTAGTCTCCCATCAAAATGTTAAGCAGTCTGACCCTGCCTAGCTTCCTCATATCAGGCAAGATCAGGCATGTTCAGGGTAGTTTTGCATGAAGACATCTTGATTATATGTACTCTAAAACAATAGGTGAACTGAATAGCTTTGGAGATATACTGCAGTAGCATAATTTTATTTATTCTAGCTGTTGGGGAGGACAGTGAGAAGAAATAAATATTACAAGAAATACATAGTTGCCCATAAGTGAATTTTCTCATTGTGAACTTATGAAAAGTAGAAGCTAAAAATGTAAAGGTAAAAGTTCCCCTTGACATTTAGTCTAGTCGTGTCTGACTCTAGGTCGCGGTGCTCATCCTCGTTTCCAAGCTGTAGAGCCAGCGTTTGTCCGAAGGCAATTTCCGTGACATGTGGCCAGCACGACTAGACATGGAACACTGTTACCTTCCCACCGTGGTGGTACCTATTTATCTACTCACATTTGCATGTTTTCGAACTGCTAGGTTGGCAGGAGCTGGGACAAGTGATGGGAGGTCAGTCCGTCGTGTGGATTCGATCTTACAACTGCTGGTCTTCTGACCTTGCAGCACAGAGGCTTCTGCGGTTTAACCCTCAGCGCCACCACGTCCCTTGAAAAGTAGAAGTTAGTGAGGTTTAAAAAGAAGACAGGAAGGCAGTATAAGTGCCAAGGCTGTGAAAATTCTCACTGTCTTCTAGAAGAGTGAATGTGGAGCATGTCCTTATGAAGTGATACTTAGTCGTGCCAAGCGTTTCTCTACTTACAGAAGGGAGAGGCTCCTGCATATGTGTGTATGGTGGGTTGTCATGACAGTCAAATGAAAACTTTTCCTCTGATCCTGCCTAACTTAAACTAATCCTTTATTCCTAACAGTAACTGAAGCTGGGTTTGGTGCTGATATTGGGATGGAGAAATTCTTCAACATCAAATGCAGAGCTTCTGGCTTGGTGCCTAGTGTGGTTGTGCTTGTTGCTACAGTGAGGGCTTTGAAGATGCATGGAGGTGGGCCAAGTGTAAGTTTCTGTACCTATCTAATAAAACAAATGATGAATCTTTAAAACTCCCTACGGTTTTTAAAAGAAAGCCCTTATCATTTGAAATACGTATAAACATTTTAATTTTAAAAATTGTTGGAATAGCTCTCAGTGCACTGCAAACCAATTAACAGAGGCTCTCACTGCGCTGTCTTTCATCATGCAGATGTGGTATTATCTCTAGAGATTACATGGCTTAAGACATATCTGCGGGGATAGCTTAAAAACGATTAAACTTTAGAAATGGGAATTGACTCAGTTAGCTTCCCCCTTTCTTCCTCTCAGTTTTACCCTTGAGCTTTTATTCTTTACATTGTAGGGGTTAAATTCTGCCTGCATCATTCCTCATCCAGTCTGAACCACCATCCACTGCTAGCTTTTCACTGTCTGTTTGTCCTTCCCTCATTTCCAGTTTTTTCCCCCCTGCTAAGCAGAGACAGACTCCAGCCAAAGTTAAACAGTTTTGAGACACCCATTAAGTTCAGTGAGAAGAGGTTACTAAAAGAAATGGAATGTAAAAGTACTTGACTGGAAGTTGCGTTCTTTTTGTCTGGATCATAGCAGTACTCTGGACAGATTATTAAAACCAACTCTCTCTTGCTTGTCTTCTAAAGTTATTTTGGTACTTTCCGCTCTCTCAGCTTGTCACCCAAGCATGCAGTCTGGCTTTCATCTTTGGTACCTCACACCCCCATCCCTGCATTTCTGAAGTACAGTTTCTTGCTAGAATCTGACCCCCCCACCCAATCTCCTCTTTTGTCGATGGCCTTCTCTCTAGCCACTGTTTATTTATAAGCATTTACTGATCCTATTTCAGCCCTCTTTCCTCTGTGCAATTTGCTTTCTGTATTGTTTGCTAACTACATTGATCACATTCAGCCAGTGTGCATTTTCTTTCAGATCAGCCCTCTCTGCCTTTGCAGTTACTACATACTGCCTTTAGGTTTCTACTTTCCCTGCTTTTAATATTCCCTGCAAATTCCTCAAATATTGGATGCATCATTTCATGCAAATATTCATACTTTGTATTCATGCTGGAGCTCTGTAACAAAATTCATGTCTTGTACTTTGCAGTCCCAGTTTTGAAAACCTTCTGAAAAATGGTTTTTGTACTTAATATTTTGCAGACTAACTCTTTTCCTACAGCATGAGCCTAACCCTGTTTACTCGAAACATAAAGTCCTATTGATCACAATGGGACCTACTGCTATGTGAGTATTTTTTTGAATGCAGGCCTGATATTATTTATTATTCCATTCCCCTCTTCCAACTGCAGAAATTTGGGGGCTTGGTAAAACCAATTTTGATTTTGCACCCAATGACCACTTTCCCTTCACACAACTGAGATTGGGGAATGTCTTTGATTCAAAACTCATGTAGGATTGTTCCTTCTAAATAGATCTGAGCTGACAGAGCACAATCACAGATATGATTGACACATGTTTTAGTTGCTTTGCTTGATCAAAATGAGAAAATTCAACCAGAGCAAGAAAAATAGCTAGCCATACAGTTTGTAAGTTCCTGTGTAAGCAGGTTTCAGCCCTCTTTAACCCTACTAATACAGTCTTCCTCCTCAGTTTTGCCAGTTAAGGTGTGTTACACATTTATGCCATGCTGCTATTACTCAGCATTTGTTTTGGTTTGACTTGTTACTTTCTGAGGAATTGGATGAAATCATAGCAGATTTATACATATTAGTAATGATTTTTGAGCAACAGAAGTATTTGGGATTTGGCAAGAAAAAGAATTTTAGAGTGAGGAGGCTGTAAATAGATGTGCTGATGGCTTTACTGGAGTAGGGAACTGGAGAGAGCAAGCCTGGCAAATCCTCTGTCCTGCACTTTTCAGTGTGATTTTTTAAAATACCCCCCCCAACCTACCCCTGCAATTTGCTCCTTCTGGTCTCCACTTTTGCAGCCTCCCTGCTCTCATGAACACATTGCCGACAATCTTCAGCTCTTTTACCTCTCCTGCCTTTCGACTGACCCATCTTCCCTCTTCTAGAAACCAAGACAGCTAGCTGTCAGGTGTCAGTAGAGGCAAAAGAGTGAAGGTAAAGGTTCCCCTTGACATTTAGTCCAGTCGTGTCCAACTCTAGGGCGTGGTGCTCATCCCCGTTTCCAAGCTGTAGAGCCAGCGTTTGTCCATAGACAATTTCCATGGTCACATGGACAGCACGACTAGACTCAGAACACCATTGCCTTCCCACTATGATGGTACCTATTTATCTACTGGCATTTTTACATGCTTTCGAACTGCTGGATTGGCAGGAGCTGGGACAAGTGACAGGAGCTCACTCCATCACGTGGATTCAATCTTACGACTGCTGGTCTTCCGACCTTGCAGCACAGAGGCTTCTGCGATTTATTGGGTAGAGCATGTATGTCCCCAGGAATTTTCTTGGGGGAGTGAGGGGAAACCTATATAGTGGTATGTTAGTATCATTCATGTGCATAATGTGTATTGTTACCACACAGTGTTTGTCTGTGTACATAAAAATAAAACAATAAAGAGATGCCCCACTTGTCCGACCCCGTCAGATATCCACAGAGTAGTGTCAAGTAACACTTGACATCAACTGGTAATTAAAATTGGTGGGCAGGCTGTCACCGTCTGCAGACTGTATTGTGTATTAGGATATTCATTGGGACAAATTATTATATAGAGTAGTTGAATTGCATTCAGTAGGAATTTCAGAATTATCTCATAATTGAGCTTACAAGTGTAAAAAGCGTTTGACGTACAAACTGAAAAGACAAGCTGTAATCATACTATGAGATGAATCAGCATGTTTCCTAAGCACGTTACTCTGTTTTTTTTACCCTGTTCAAATTCTTTAGAATAGAGTTTGAAGATTTTTCAATATAATTCAATATAATGATATAACTTCAGTTTCAGAATGGAAGTGTTAAACGTTTAGTTAATTTTAATGCATCTAATTTCAGAGATGTTGTAGATTCAGAACCTGAATCCAAAATTGTTTGGTTGTTGTTGAACTTACAGACTGCTAGGTGATGTCAAAGCACATCATAACAGTAGTTTGTTTACACAGGTATGCACTGAAAAACATATACATACTATGGAATGAGACCCTTCAAAAATTCCCCTGGTTACACCTTTATTTAAAGATATATGTAAGAATGCTGACTTTTCTACTTTTAGAAACATATCAGAACACAACCATTTAAGGGCTCTTTCTAATTGTGAAATAACTTTTTGGGGCACATCTGAATTCTCTAACTATTGTTGTACTATATTTTGTGATTTCAGGTAACAGCTGGTGCCCCTCTTAAAAAGGAATATACAGAAGAGGTAAGAATACTTCTTGCGAGATTTAAAATTTACTCTAAATTTACTTTAAAAATGAACTCCATACAGTAACTAATTACTTGTAGTGAGATCTTTAAAAAGTTATGAGAGGACTGCCACTCCCTGTTGCTTAACATACGTAATATTGTTGTGAAACTAACTTAATTTTGGCATGCTAAAGCTTTATTTTTTCTATTATGTCTGTTACCTGTCAAGTTGTAACTGGGTATCCTTGCTAAGTTGCAGAGCCACAATAAAAATGTGTGTACAATTTTTTAAATATATATATTTGGTAGCTTGCATTCATTTTCATGCAAAAGAAAATAAATTTATGGTGCTTAATCCCTACATCTCTTCCTTCAGCATTCTCAGTGCAAATAATCTGTAGGTCCCATGTGTCTAATAGTCATGCTACCAGTTCGGAGTCTACAATGAGTATAGTTTTCATGGTGAATGTCTTTGATGAAAGTAATATAATAGCAAAAGTTATAATGCCACACAGACAGCACCTTCCAAAGTATGGGCTGTTCTTGCGTACAACTCAAAGCAGCATAGGCAAAGACTAAAAGGGATGCCCAACTCTCCTTGTCCCTTTGACTCTGCTGCACAAACAGCTTTCTCTTCCTCACCTCTACAAGTCAGAGTATCTCTCCTCTCTTCCTCCCATCCCAACATGCATCTGCTTCTCCCTGCCTCCCTCCCTCCCTCTCGCCCTCTCTCGCTCTCTCTAGTGATTCATCACTAAAGTGGTTAGAATCTTTAGACTGGAGACTGTATATTGTAGAACTCAATGTGCTACTCTTTCTGTAAAAGGATGGAGAGAGAACATATACTCTTTTTTGAGAGAATTTGAAGAAGTTTAGAGGCAGCAATTTAAATTGCTGATTGCTTCATTCATTGCTCTTAGCCTCATGTAAGGTCTAAGTGTAGATTCATCCGTCAGCTATGGTCAGCAAGTTCTATAAAAATAAAATAAGTAAATGGCTGAGAGATTTATAGATTTTTAGCAGCATCCAAAAATTACCTTTGTCTATCAAACCTGGTAGGGAAGTGGTGGTGCTGTGGGTTAAACTGCAGAAGCCTCTGTGCTGCAGGGTTGGAAGACCAGTAGTCATAAGATCGAATCCACATAATGGAGTAAGCTCCCAGCGAGCAAGTTCTATAAAAATAAAATAAGTAAATGGCTGAGAGATTTATAGATTTTTAGCAGCATCCAAAAATTACCTTTGTCTATCAAACCTGGTAGGGAAGTGGTGGTGCTGTGGGTTAAACTGCAGAAGCCTCTGTGCTGCAGGGTTGGAAGACCAGTAGTCATAAGATCGAATCCACATAATGGAGTAAGCTCCCAGCGCTTGTCCCAAGTCATAAGATCGAATCCACATAACGGAGTAAGCTCCCAGCACTTGTCCCAGCTCTTGCCAACCTGGCAGTTTGAAAGCATGTAAATGCGAGTACATAAATAGGTACCACCACGGTGGTACCTAGTCGTGCTGGCCATGTGACCATGGAAGATTGTCTTCACATAAAACACTGGCTCTCTGGCTTGGAAACAGGGATGAGCACTGGCCCTTAGAGTCGGACACGACTGGACTAAATGTCAAGGGGAACCTTTATCTTTACCTATCAAACATGCAGTTTTTGATATAATAGATTTGATGTTCTTGTCAAGGGGAACCTCTATCTTTACCTATCAAACATGCAGTTTTTTATATAATAGATTTGCTGTTGTAGTCCTGGATTTGATCTTCTTTGAACTACACGGTTTGGGGTGAAGTAATAAAGGATACTGGGGCAGAAAAGGTCTCCATTTACACAGAAATGTCTTCCCTTCTTTGTGTTCACCATGTAGGTGGAACTGTGGCTTAGAGTAGGGGAAGCCAGGAAGTATGCTTTACAACTTGCAGTATTTTGTTTTCTGAACTCCACTCCCTCCTGACAAAATGTATTTTTAATATGGGTTTGATAGACATCTCTTTGGTTGCTAATAAGACCAAGCTATCTTTTTTTTGGGTGGGGGCAGGCTGTTAACGGTGCAGTTGGATACCAAGGCATTGCACAGTTCCATGTAGCTTTATTAAGTAATTTAAAAATATTTACTTTATTTCTAAAAAAATATTCCTATTTAAAATTTTCATTTACTTTTGTTTGTCCATTTCCTTCATATGTAGAATCTCAAGCTGGTATCTGATGGCTGTTGCAATTTAGGGAAACAAATTGAGATTGCCCAGCAATTTGGTGTTCCTGTTGTAGTTGCTCTGAATGTTTTCAGGTAACATTGTTTGTACTTTTTGCACCTGAGAACTAAACCCACATATTAAACCTGGATGTTGGAGCAAGATGTGGGCATTCCATCCCATGTATTATCTCCTGATATCAATTCTTATTGAATAAATATATTTAATGCTCCAGTTATCTCCTAGTCAACCAAGAATTGTGATTACTGCTAGTAAGTAGATATTCTGGAAGGAACGGAACTTAAATGCCACCTATTCCCAAGTATTCTTACTGTGTCAGGTCCACTCTGTGGTTTTCCACTTGTACAGCCTTATCTCTCCCCACCCTTTTCTGACTTAGTTTCTCAAGAGCAGAGAATTTATGGGGACTAATGTCCAAATTATTGTTTCACATTAAATTACTTCAGTATGAAGTGCATCACCTGGGGCAGCTTGCTTCTAGCAGAGGAACGTGGAAGAAGGGCAGCAGCTGTCCCTCAATTAGGACAAGAGCTACATTTCCAAAGTAAGGTGAAGAGAAAGCAACGGCAGAGTCAGAGTGTCTCTGCTCCTCTCTTGTCTATGACCACCAGGCAGCCCAACACACAGCATCCTCCAGGCAGGAGCTCAGCAGGTAACAAGCAAGAAGGCAGGCATCTCAGGAGGGCTTCTTGCAAGTGCCTTCCTCTAGTGAGTTGCTTCCCTGCCTTTCCCCTTCCCTTTTAGCTTTGTTCTGAAGTGGAAAGAGCTGAGTGACCCATCTTTTTAGACAGTCCTTAATTCATGTCTGTCTGGGAAGTGCCATAGGAAAGTGCCACTAAAGTACTACTGCTGCTGTGAGTGACCCATCTTTTTAGACAGTCCTTAGTTCATGTCTCTCTGGGAAGTGCCATAGGAAGTGCCACTAAAGTACAGTACTACTGCTGCTCTTCCCCTTCCCCAGTACAAAGGAGGCTCAGAAGAGTCCAGGAATCTATTTGGGAAAAAAATGGCACAAAACAAATAAGAGGAACATCATCTGGACTTCAGGGAAGTTCTGTTAAAATCTATGCTTAATGGGGAATTAAAAAGGAATACAAATGCTCTATCCAGAGGAGTCCTCCTGTGTTGTTGTTTTTTAAAAAACAGACTTGTGAATGTAAGAATTAGGGAGAGGATTTCTATGACATGTCATATATTTTTTTTCTGCAATCTGTGTTTGAATTTACCGGTATGGGCGGGCTTGAGCATGTTTATGAAGTCATCTGATGAGAAGGTCAGATTATTCATAAACATGTTTGAATTATGGGTTCAAATGTAGGTTGCAGGGACAATGTAAAATGTCATAGAAATCCTCCTCCTAGTAATAATGTATCAGTTGCTGAAAATGTTTTCATGCAGATCTGAACTGAAAGGAGCAGAGTTAAGCTCTTCTGAAAACTGTGCCTCTAATTTCAGGGTCCCCTTCCTATAAGAAGTGTCTTCATATAGGACAGAGTAAGGAATTAAGAAGATGGCCAGAGAATGAGATACACAACAACATAATTATGAGGAAAACTAGCCTGGGTTTTTAATCAAACTACAGTGGTGCCTCGCTTTACGATTGCCCCATTTAACAACGAAATTGCATTACGACGAAGTTTTCCCAACTATGTTTCCTATGCGGAAATTTCGCTTTGTGATGATCGGTTCCCTGCTTCAGGAACCGATTCTTTGTAAAACAGTGATTTTCCAATAGCTGATTGGTGGTTTCAAAGTGGCCGCCGGGTAAACAAAATGGCCCCCCGCTGTTTTCTGGGATGGATTCCTCACATTACAGGCACCGAAAATGGACGGTGAGTTTCAAGGCTTTTGGAACGCATTAAACAGGTTTTAATGCGTTTCAATGGGTTTTTTCTTTTCGCATTATGATGTTTTTGTTCTACAGCGATTTCGCTGGAACGAATTAACGTCGTAATGCGAGGCACCACCGTAGTGTCCATTGTAATGGTCAACTTTGGAGATACAGTACATTGCTTGGCATAAACTTTTGCAGCATGCAGTCTATTTCATCACATGCTTGCATCTTCATCAGATCCGCCCATATCATGGATTGCAGTCTGTGAGGGCTATGCCAGTTGAAACTTGTTTGTTTTTAAGGTACCATAGGACCCTTTGTTATTGTTACTGCTACAGACTTTACTTCCAGTGGCTACCTCCTTGACAAGTATTTTGTCTTTTTTGCCTAGGCTTTGCCCTTTATCTAACAGGGCACTCAAATTGTACAGTGGAAGGTTTGTGTAGGCAGTCAGTGGCTGAGATCCTGTTGGCACAGTTCTGCATGTGTAAGGCTGACAGTGCCATCGGCCATGGCCTTTTATCTTTAATTGAAAGTTTCCCTCCCACCCAGCTTCTGAGGCATCCTTGACAATTTTTGAACATTAAAGGCTTTTCAGTGTCGAAGAGGAAACTTGTCACCAGCTGTGGCCTTTTGTCTTTAATTACATCATCAACCTTACACACATGGAGCTGCATCAGCAGGATTCCAACCAATATTAAGAATTGTTTCTTGTAACCATCTGCTGCCATACAGATAGGAGTAAGGAAAAATCACTTATTGAACATAGGAGTGATTAACAAAACTATAAATAAAATATGAAATAACTGTTTTGGTGACAGAACGGACTCTCCTGCTGAGATTGACTTAGTCTGTGAGATTGCCAGACAGTCTGGAGCATCGGATGCAGTGCCTTGCAATCACTGGTCGGAAGGAGGCAGAGGATCTGTGGAATTGGCTCAAGCCGTAAGAAAAGCTGCTAATCAGCCAAATAGCTTCAGATACCTGTATGACCTGGAGGTAAGATTAAATAAAGTTGCAACAACCCCCAAAGAAACAAATTAATTTTGGACCCGGGGGGGCACTGGTGGAATCTTCTTCATATTATATGCTGGTGCTAGTCAGGGTCCTTCCTAGTGCCTGTTACACTTGGTAGGATCATATATTTGCTTGTGTCTGTTGTCAAATTTAAGTTAACTCTCAAGTTGTAAACTTTTGCAAAGTACACACGTGCTGAAACAGACTGACACAGTTACCTTGCTGAAAACTGCTTAAACTGTAGATACTCTTGGGCTTTATGAGGAAATAAAAATCTGGAAGTAAAGTAGTTTGTTGTTGAAGTTTTGAATTGTACTCTGTCATGAGATCTAAACCAGAATGTGACAAGGGACAATTTATTATTTTGTTTATACAACTCTGGATGCTCTTTTTGTTTCACTTGGCTAATGTGGAATACCAAATAGGAATGGGCCTCTCGTGCCTGAACACAGGACCCAAAACATGGACAAGACTCACTATTGTGTAATTCATGTTCTTTTAATAATTTCATGTTTTCTAAACATGAAAGATTCTGTTTCTGAAAAAAGGGTTTCATGAAGATTTCACTATCTTTTTTGTGTTACCTCTTTCTTGTAAACTTCCTGTGCCCTTTCACCCTTTGTCATCTATCAAATCACCTCAAATTTTCATCTATCTTAAATCTTTTCCTTTTTGGCCTTTTTCTTTTGAGTTTTGTGGGAACCTTTTTTTGCTGCCACCACACAGACAGCCTGTGCCAACAAGGCTCCTTAGAACTTTTTTTTTTGACACCCCCCACCTCGATTCCTTTGGGATTTTTCTCTCTCTCTTGGTTAGTTGGTTGGTTGGCTTTAGTACTGTAACTTCTTTTCTTGGATTTTTTTTGCTGCTGCTTGGCTACCAGAGGGTGGGCTTCAGGATTGTGCTAGTGTGTATGCATGGTTCTTAGTTGTGGTTGGGCACAGCTCAGAGCATTTCTCTTTTGTCATTTTAATGATGATTTTTATTTGTTATATATTGTTGTCGGCTTTTGGATTAGAATGATTCTCACTTGCCATGCCTCTGTTCTTTTGAAGTAGTTTTTCTTTAGGGCTTTTGGAGTGCAACAAAACATGAATAAAAAACACAAAAGAGAGCTTTCCCTTTTATGTAAATTGAAAGGACCAGCACATGAAATATACGAAAATGGAAGGGGCACTCCCCCAAAATAACCCAAAACGAAAGAAATACAAAAATTATCACTGTGCACATCCTTAATGTGCTCTTTTTCCTTTTTAAAAATGAAAACAAATCAAATGCCCTTTCTCAAACAACTACATATTTAGTTATATTTTCTTCTAACAGACCATGCTCTGTTTAAAATCCTGGTTTTCCATTGCATTGGAATCAGGCTAATGTAATAATCCACATCTACAGATTCTCAAGCCTGACATTTATGTTCAGTTTATACATTTGATAAGTGAAAACCTTATCCTAGACCCCTTTTTTCACACAGTTCGACCAATATGGTCCCAATTAACACAATGCTATGGATCAACTTAAAGATTTGTGCTGTTCCTCATCTTATTTCCAAGGTCAGAAGTAAATTTCATATATTTTATTTGTTCAGAAATGGAAGGCTGCCATCACTGTGAATAAATGGGAGGTCACCGTGGCACTTGAGTAACGAGGCTGTGGTTCAAAGATTTCTGCAGGGCTTTGTATGTAAATTGGAGACTTTTATCTTCCCTAGATCTACTCTGGCTCTCAGTGCACTTCCCAAGAAGCCATTCTGCATAGTAACGGTGCACCGGTAAAGAAACCATGTAGAAAACCTAGGGTCACACACGGAGCACCCTAAACTGTTTGGAGCACATAGTTCTGAGAACACATGTCGGCAAGTCCTGTTTAACTCATCAGAATGCATGTGTAAGTCAGTATTATAGGACTGAACTGAAATCTGGATTGGACTGTAAATGCTTTTTTCTAAATACAGGATTCTAAGAATCGTAGAATAATAGTGCTGAAACGAGCATATAAGCGGACTTTATCTGACAGATGGCTGTCTGTCTCAAACAAAAATCCAGTACATAAGCTATATATCATACACAGTTTAGTACAGCATTAGGTATTCTTAAGCTTTCTGGCTAATGCATTTATGTTATGAAGTTCCATGCTTCATTTTCTGTTGTATTTTAGAGCATATGTCTCTCTATGCCATCAAGTTGATTCTGACTTATGAAGACCCATGTGGGCTAGAAGAAACTTGTTTTATTGCAAAAGCTGGCTGGATATGTATTCGCGAAGGCTTTCACGGCGGGAATCTAATGGTTGTTGTGGGTTTTTCGGGCTCTTTGGCCGTGTTCTGAAGGTTGTTCGTCCTAATGTTTTGCCAGTCTCTGTGGCCGGCATCTTCAGAGGACGGCACAGAGTGGCTGTCCTCTGAAGGAGTGCTGTCCTCTGAAGATGCCGGCCACAGAGACTGGCAAAACATTAGGACGAACAACCTTCAGAACACGGCCAAAGATCCCGAAAAACCCACAACAACCACTGGCTGGATAGTTCAGTGAGTTAAATATTTGGCTACTGAGCCAGAGGTTGGGAGTTTAATTCCCCTACCGTGCCTCCTGTGAGTTGAGCAAGCCATGGGCAAACTGCACAGTTTCAAGATGCCTCCAGAAGAAAGAAATGGTAAACTGCTTCTGAGTACTCTCTACCTAGAAAATCCTGCAGAGAGTTGCTGAATTGACTTGATGGCACGTGATTATTATTGTGCTCTTGCACTAACAAGCTAGAATGAAGTTACATTTTGCTTGTAATGACCATGGCTGTAATTTGGCCATGGCTGTAATGAACTACTTTTTTTAGTACATTAGGTAGATCTGCAACCAGGACTCTTCCAGATTGTTAGTTCAAAGTATCAGATATTCAGAGCTAAACTGCCTCAGAACATGGAAGCTTTATTGAAGAGGACTTATTTAATTCTTCCAGCCAAACTACCATCTGACCGAATGTGGACTTTATTTTTAATTCCTGATAGCTCATCCAGTTAGATATACTCAGGAAAATGCCACTTGGATGCTTCAGAGAGCCATTTTGTCATGACATTCACGAAATTAATGGCCTTTTTCTTGATGTGTTGGACTATAACTCCAATCCTAATATCATCTGGATAGCTGGAAGGTGGGTTCTAGTTTAAGGCATCTGTGAAAAAAAGTGTCCAAGGAGGCTTTGCTTTGCTGGGGTATTTCCTTGCCCAAATTTTTAATCGGTCTGGGAACTGCTGATTTTATTTATTTATGTTTTAAAAGTAATGGAATGGAGAAAGAGATGGGGAGAGAAAGATGACTGCCTAGGTAGAAGACTACTGGGATAAACATGTAATCCAATCTTGGCTTTCCAAAGAGGAGTTAATATAAGTACAGTATACTGTTAAGAAACAAGCACATGCAAGGCATTTATTTATTTTCTCCAAATTGTTGCTTGGTTTAGTTCCTTTCCTTTCCCTACAACAGCAGTTGCTCTGTTTGAAGGAGGAAAACTCTGCTGTTCAGCTGACATATAGAACTAGGTTAATAAATGTTTAAACATTTGCAATAACCAAGTAAATCCAGCTCTAAATTAATAGTTAAATTTCTAGCATAGTAGTATTGTGTTGTGGAAAAGCAATATATTGATTTGAGACCAAGAGAGACATGAAAAGTACTGTATTGCATCAGCTGTCAGGGGGAATAAATCAGTAAGAAATGAAGGCCAAAGCAAAGCAAAGTGTGTTGCTTATATACCACCCTATAGCATTTCAAACACTCTCTGGGCAGTTTATAAGTTAATTATGCAGGCTACACATAGCCCTCACTTCCCACCCCCACATGTGCACTGGGTACTCATTTTACCGACCTCAGAAGGATCGAAGGCTTGAGCCGGCTAACAGGGATTGAACCTTGGGTCGGGAGCACAGTTTTGGCTGCAGTACAGCAGTTTAACCACTGTGCCATGAGGCAAGGCTAAAGACATGCAAATAAATTATGCTAATAGCAGTTACTCAGGGGATTTTAATAAAAATACAGACAGCTCTCATGACTACTTCAAGGCTTATGGGGAGGTAGAGTTATTGTGCACAACTCCTTTGCTGCAAATCTGAACAGTCTCCCCTCCCCAGTTCCATCCTAGAAAGGAAAGATATTTTAAGATGGAATACTGTGAGTGCATTTCCAAATTTCACTGTTCCAAAAAATTTTCATCTGCATTCATGCCAAGGTTTTATTTTCTCCCAAATTGTCATCTTTTTAAAAAAATTAATTCAGAATCAATGTGGTACTGGTAAAAATGAAAATCATACTAGTTGGCATACTGCTAGTTGGATTTAGTAAGGCAGCACATCCTATCAAATAGGACATACAGCAGAATGCTTAAACAGAAGGAGTCAACACTGCTATTATAAAATAGGAGAATAAACCATATATACTGCTAGACCTAATGAGGAATAAATGTGAAAGTTAAATAACTGTAGGGCAGTCTCTTAATTGAATTCAATCTCAAAGCAAATGTTCTATCTAGTAACTTAGAATAAAGGTTTCTAAAATTATTAGAGAACTAAAGATGCACTGGTTTCATTGATGTTTGTTTGTTTGTTTGTTTATATTCTGCCTTTCTCCCCATGGAGACCAAAAGCAATTCCCAACGGCTAATAATGTGCAACAATCAACAGTTTTAAAATACCGTATTTTATTTGGTATATAAAAAATTTAATGTGTCAAGATTAAAGCCGGACTTAAAAACAATTTTAAAACATTTTTTTTAAAAATTGAAAATATCTAAGCTTAATATACTTCACATTCCTGAGACACTTATTGCGTAAAAACCTGCCTGAAAAATGATTTGTTAAAACACAGTTTGTCATTTTGTCCAAATGAACAAACTGTGGCTTGAGCAATCTCAGCAAACCACAAGCCTGCTTTTTAATTTGTTTTGGAGGAGTTTGCTCAAGCTGCAGCTTCTGGTGCAGAAGTAGCAAACAAAGTGAT